TATGTGTTTCCTTCAGCTTCTTGATAGATAGCATTCCCTGATCTAGTATAGCCATAAAATCCAAATCTTAGGTATGAACTTTATAGCGGAGGTAGAATATGCTCTTCAATCTATTTTGGTTATAGCAGCCTCCGCTCCTCTTAGGCCTGCCCCCACAGAGACCTGCTTATTCACTCAATTAGAATTAGTCAGGATTGTAACTCTAAAACCAAAGCCTCAGAATAATTTTTTATTTTTCCTACTTCCTCTTTTTTTAAACTAATTTTAGACAGCGAAGAAAAGAGAGGGGGAGAGAGGTAGAAATATCGATGTGAGCGAGAAATATCAATCGGTTGCCTCTCATGTGCACCCTGAATAGGTTATCAAACCCACAACCCCTTGGTGCACAGGACAATGCTCTGATCAACTGAGCCACACCAGCTAGGACCTCAAAATAATTTTTAAATGTTGATTTGTTAGCAATTACTTCCCTTAAACTTTGTGAGGGAGGGAGGAGCTAAGTAGAACTGACTTGGCTAATAAACCTTGCTTAATTTTTTTCCCATTACAATTCCAAATATTCTTCCCTTTTTAGAGATGTCATTTTGCTTACCTTATTTTTAAGAAGAAATTTATTCCTGCAGATCAGAATTTCCCGCAACCATTTGAGAATTTCTGTGCTACTAAGCATTTGATGGCTAGTTAATTTCTTGCAGATGTAAAAAAGCATTTGTGAGCTGCAATAATATGAAGTTTGTTGTTACCAGCATTGTCAATAAAGTAAAAATAGAATAATCAGTATGTAATGACATTCTCTCAGAATGGACACAAGTTTAGAGAAGCTTATTCTCCGTTCTGAGATGTGTTTTAGAGAAATGGTTATCAAAATGTTAACAGTGTGATAATCAAAGGGAATAAATCTACAGATTATATTTTTTTAAAAGTCAAGTACTTCTACACCTCTTATCCCCCAAACTCCCAATTATTTTGTCCATGCATCTAATCCTTATGGAGGACTCAAAACGGAATGACAGATCATGTGCTATACAGCACAGGCTGGAGTAAACCCAGTACTCTAGAGCTGCAATACCTTCAAACAACTGCCTTCAGACCAAATCAACCCAGCATTTGCTGTTGCAAATAAAATTTTAGGGGAAACATGGCCATACCCATTCATTTACATTTGTCTGTGGCCGCTCCCATGCTCCAATAGTAGAAATGAATAGTATGAAAGAGACTATCTGTCCCACAAAACCTAAAATATTTACTTCCTGGCCCTTTAGAGAAAAAGTATGCTGATCCCTAGACTGAAGTTGTAATATCCAATGTGGTAGCCACTAGCCAGCCACCACTTGTGGCTACTGAGCACTTGAAATGTGGTTTGTCCAAATTAAGATGCGCTCTAAGTGTGACACACATCAAATTTTGAAGACTTTAGTCAAAGATCTCATCAATAACTTTTGTATTGATTACACAGTGAAGTAATATTTTAGAGGTATATCCTGGATTAAAAATATATTAAAATTAATGTTCCGTGTTTCTTTTTACTTCTTCGTGTGGAAGCCGGGAAATTTTGAAGTATGTGTGTGGTTCACATTGCATTAGTATGGAAGAGCTCTGCTCTTGGTGGAGGACTGAACTCAGCTGCCAAGTGACTTAGTGTACTCACTTCTATGGTAAGATAATGACAAAACCTGAGGCTAAATTTTCCTCAATGTACTCCTTTTGTGCTCATTAAAAGGTAGTAATTTGCTCTCTGAAATCAATAAAGATATACTTAAAAAAAAAACTTAAGAAAAGGTAGTAATTTATATAACCTAAGAAAGAAATTACAAAATACCATATGTTTTTACCTTCTAGGCAGATGTTTGTCATTAATTCCCTCATCAAAAACAATGGTTATTAAAAAAACTTACAAGATCATAGTTTATAAAAGCAAACTATTAACATTATAAAATTTTAAAACTCTAAGCTTATATCTGCACACAGTCAATTTAAAACACAGTTGTAATTACATAGAAATATGTAATAAAAGAGATTACAACATATATTGGTACTTATGATTGGATAATAAAATGTAGCACAATCAAAATTTTTTTTCTACATTGCTGTTACATTGTTCCCAGAGTTAAAACAAGAAATATTCTAACTAATAATTTCAAGTCAAATAACAAACAAAATCATAAAACCTCTGGAGTTATAGGTGAATAAAGTTTTACAATAAACCAAGTACTATAGAGTTAATATTTAAAGACAAGAAATAAATACAAAATAAAATTTTAAATTGAATTGAAAAATAAAAGTCCAAATACCTAATTTCCCAAAATGTTTCTACAGGAGCATCAGGGTTCCACAAATCAATGCTATCTAATTGATGAAGAACCAGCAGAGCCTGAATTTTTAAAAAGAGAAACAAGACTTACTCAAAAAACTTTTGGTAAATGTAACATTGGACTATTTATTTTATAAATGCTAACAAATCAAATTTAATTGTAGCCTCAACATCCAGTGTAAGGCAAAAGAGAAGAACTCTGAGAACCCAGATCTCCAGGAAACAAGATACATATGTAAATAAGTAACTTTATTTGTATCATTCTTATTTAAAATGGCATACATGCAGGTAGTTAAGTGACTGATGAATTCAGAACACCAATATATACATGTAAAAATTGCTTTATAATATAATTTCAATAAGTATCAAAGAATTCTGTGGAACATAAAGTTAATCCCCAAGTAAGACGAGCTTGCCAAAATTAATACACACAACAATTTTTTTACTTCTAGGCCAAAAGAAAAAGTAATCTTGCCACAAATTCTATTGGAATAGAGCAAAACAGACTTTGCATTTCATAGCAGAGTATTCATTCTAAAATATTCCTTTTTAAAATATATATATATTTTTATTGATTCCAGGGAGTTAGGGAGAGGAAGATGGAAACATCCATGATGAGAGAGAATCACTGGTCAGCTGCCTTCTGCACGCCCCACACTGGGGATGGAGCCCGCAACCTGGGCACGTGCCCCAACCAGGAACTGAACTGTGACATCATGTTTCACAGGTCAATTCTCAACCACTGAGCCTTGCCAGCTGGGCTCATCCTAAAATATTTCAATTTGAATTGGAATTTGGCTCACAGAACATTAACAGGTATTAATTAATTTAAAATATACAACTAATATACAAAAACACTATTATGAAATAAAGCCATCAGAAAGTTTGTATAAAGACTCTTCCTTCAGACCAGCCCTACCCTAACTCCACCTCCTCGGTGCTTCCCCCAGAGGCACACTGTTGAGCTCTGAACATTTTCTCAGTCCTTAGTCTGCATATTTGGCAATTCTTTACTCTGCTCTTACAGCATCTTATTACAATTCCAATGAAACATTGTTTGGAACAAATAATGAGAATTGATTTCTTCTCTTACAGCGGTTCTCAACCTGTGGGTCGCGAAC